GGCGAAGAGGAGGGGGCAGGCCCGATCAAATAACGCGCGCCGCTTGTTTGACGAGTGAGTCGTGAGAAGACGACTGGCACTGCGGGGGAGGACGTTTTATCACACCTTCACGTCCTCGGGAGACTCAAACGTGATCCTCAACAAAGGAGTCGTGAACTCTTCTTTAATACGTAGGCTCTTATTCCGGCTTGGCGTCGCACACATTCTCGGAGACCGAAATTTTACTTATACACAGTCTGAACGAACCGAGCCGGATTAAGAGCCAGAGTATCGAGAAGGTGGGCGAGTGATTAGTCGATGTACAAATTATCTTTTATGGAAATTACCAGTCCTGCTTTTGAATAGGAATCATAAGTTTTCTTTTATCGCATATGCACGTAATTAAAAACCATGTACTCTTAAAACAAACTAATTAAAAACGGTCAGTATTGAATAATTCTCATGTTTTGAAGTATTCTGGGACGAACAGGATCAAATGCCCTAACGGCTGTATTCCAGGCTCCGGCAGCGCGTGTGGAAGTAGGGAACGGGAGCGAGCGACCGCCTCGCAGCGTTGGGCGCGCGCCGACGGCGGCGGCGGCGGCGGCGGCGATAGAAAGCCGGGTTGGGCCCTAAAGTCATCTCCAACCGGCGGCCGAAAGTCGCGACGAGCCGACAGCGACGCCGCCGGCGGTGGCGGCGGCGTCGGCGACAGCACACTGAGCGGCGGCGGCGGCGCAAACACGACGAGTTCGTTCACCTGGCCTGTTGCGCTACAAACGACGGCCCGCCGACTAAGCGACAGACACGCCGCCGGCGGCGGCGGCGGCGGCGGCGGAGGCGCCGGCGACCGTGAAATGCGGCGCGGCCTCGGAAGGGGCGGAGGGGAGGTGGGCGGAGTAAGGTTTGCTCTGGCGACAGATAACGCGGCATTCCAGGTGGAGACCGCGCCCGGACTCTGTTTCCGGCCCACCTCGAAACGATGGGGTAGGGAGGGGGCTCATCGCCGAAAAAAATGAAACTCGTCCGGACGCCACCCCGCCCCGCCCCTTCTTCCTCTACTCGTATATGGGAAGCGGAAACGGCTACGGCAACGCGTATTTCCTGTGAAACGGTGTCAAAATGTGGAGGTAGGACGATGAAGGGCAGGTAGACGCCCGCATACAATAAAGTGGGCAAGCCTCCATTCGACAAGCGGTCTTCTATCTACTAATTCATTCGCTTATCAGTCGAATGGCAGGAAGCAGTTTCCGCTTCTATTCTACGACACACGTTTCCTACTGCATCAATCCCTACGCCGCAAACACAGAACAAGACATTTACAATTCTCAGAAACAGTCTAATATTACAAGTGAACTTCAACCACGCACATCCAACCTCCAACATTATATCAATCAAATCGCAACAAAAACAATTGTGTGTTAATATCCGTCAAAACACTTCACGTTCTTTTTTCATCCTGAAACCACCGCAGAGTTGCAGGCATTTTCGAAAATTTATACCTGGTTCCGAACCGGTCCGGAACCCTAGATTCCACCCCTCAATCCCAGGAGGCACCGCTGCCCTCGTCGCCGAAGAAAATGGCGGTCGCTCACACCCCTAGCGCGCACCCCCGCTCGCCCTGCGCCCATCTCCGCCCCGCGCCAGCAAAGCCGCTCGCCAGCCGCCGCAGCTGCCGCCCGCCGGCCGGACCGCCCGCATTTTTGTTAACAAAAGAAACGGAAAAAGCCCGCGTTCCAAAGGCGAGGTTCAGTGGAGCGCGACTTGGAACAATGGTCCTCTAAAAGTAACTTCCTTATTACAGCGCATTCGAACACAAGGAGCTCTCGTTCGAGCAAATCAGCGCGATTAAAAATTTCAAGTGATGAGGAGGATGAAGACGCTGTCTGCCCTGGATGAAAGCTGGAGAGTAACAGACACAACCGAGGGCCGGTGGCGCGGAGAGGAATTTATGTCGAACTGTGGCGATACATTTTCTTCTGGCACTCATAAATACCTCGTCGCCATAAGCATCAGTCTCTTAAATGCGCGCAGTCCTTTTAAATCAAACCGCGATATTTGTTTTTTCCTTCTTAAATCGTGCACACCATGTGAACTGTAGCACGTACATCATACAATTGATTCTTAATAATTTACAAATAACTACATTATATTATTTATTATTTGTTTTCATTTTATTCCTTTGCATATCACTTCAGCACTTTTAAACAACGCTTTATTTTTCCTTCATCAAAGAATTCGAACTGGCATTCTCGGCGTGTACGCATGTCTGGGGCACTGCTAACGTCTGTTTTTATAGCGCCCCCGCCACACGTACACGCTCCTCTCCGTTCGCAAGGTGTGTATGAGCGCCGCTCCGTGGAGACTTCAATAGAATCGACAAGCACCGCGCGGGCGCGACACAATGGACACTGGGTGGGAGGCTGGCGAGGCCCGCGCTCGCCGCCACCATCACCGTCACCGGCCCTCACAATGTGCGATAAATATTAAAGCAACCGTCGGCAGCCGCCGGCATGCAAAACGCACTCCCGCGCGCGTACCAGGGGGGGGTTGGTGGCGGGGGGGCAAGCGGACGGCGGCGGAGGCGGTAGCCGCCTAAGACCGCATTCCTGACGGCCCCCGGTGGCGACAATGGCGGAGGACCGGCCCGGGCGGGCAAAGCACCCAGGACGCCGCCGGGCCGAGGGCCCGCTGGCCACCGCCGCCGCCAACGCCACCGCGTCCCCCGTCGCACGCACGCGGAGTCGCGCCGTCTCCCCCCGGGGCAGGGGGCTCACAGTCTGTACTCACCTCGTACTTCAGGCCCGCCAGGCGCAGCCAGGTCTCCACCTTGAGGCAGAACGGAGACAGCGACGGGATGAGCGGCGTGCGCGAGAACTGGTACAGGTACACCACGTCCTTCTCGTAGTTGGTCTTGTAGACGGAGGGCTTCGGGGCCGGAGCGGGGGTGGACGTCGGTTGGGCGGCTTGGGTCTCTTCGGCTTTGGCTTGCTCGCAGGCCTTCTCTTTCTCTTCCTCGGCCGGCTTTTTAGCGTCGTTCTGGGGGGCCTTGCTCGCGGGGGCCTGGGCTCGGCGGGGCTGCCGGGGGTCTGGCCTGGCTGGGCTCGCTGCTGCACGCTGCTAGCTGCTGTCTCTTTGCCCTCGGCGGGGACGTTTTGTTTTCTTTCCTGACATGTCGGGTCTACTCTTTCTTCAGTGGGCGGCTTTCTACGAGGGCGAAGATGGATGCACCGGAGGGCTGGCTGTCGCCTGCGGAGGGCGGAGCGCTGAGGGGCGCTGCTGCGGCTGTCCTGAGCGTCCTCGGCTTTCTCTTCCTACCGGCTTTGCTGACTGGCTGCTTCCCGCTGCTGCTGCTGCTACTTTGCTGCTGCTGCTAGCTGCTTCCGTCCACCAAGCCACCTGACTGACCCTGACTGCCTAGACGAATCCTAGCGGCGTTTGCTGTGCGCTCTGGAGGGCGTCGGCGAAGCCTGCCCGTGAACGTCACCGCCGCAGCCGGCACTATCGCCGAGTGCGTTGCAGCGCGCCGGCGTTCGGGCGCGCTGCCGGGAAGCGCTCGAGGCCGAGGGCCAAATGGAGCGCGGCGTGCCTGGGCGTCGCAGACGGCACACGGGGGGGGAGGCGGCGTCTAAGGGCCACGGGCAGCGGAACGCGGGGATGGCTTGCGGCGGCAGGGTGGGTGGCGCGCGGAGCGGCAAGCCGGGCAGCGCGGTGGCGCGAGGGCTGCACGACCGCGCGTGGACGTGCCGCCCCGAGAGAGCGAGAACCGGCCGGCCCCAACGAGCTACCGCCGCACCCGCCCGCGTCCGCGCGCTCGCCCTGCACCCCGCCGCCGCCGACCATGATTTGACTCGGCGTGGTGGCGACACACCCCTCGATTATACCGAAGCAGCCCGCCGGAGGCCCCGGGCAACTTGCAACCCACTTGCGGCGGGTTCGCAGCCCCGCGACCGCGCAAGCGCCGCAGAGCTCCGAGAACTCGCGTAGCGACGCTCGCCCCGTGGGGTACGACTGCAAGGGGTGCATGCGCCCGGTCATAAATCGGACTCGCTTGGCGCCCTCCCGTCATCAACAGAGAACGAAATGCATCCATATTCGAAATGTTTTCCCCTTTATTTGTAATAAATAGAGGACTTAATTTCTGTTACTGTAACTTAATTCTTATGTTCTGTAGATAGTACGCCTTATAACAACTTTTTATTTTAGTGTGATTTTTTTTTATTTTTTACACTTTTGTAGGTAAGTAATGTTTTCTCATTCGTTGTTTTCATTATTTATAAATATATTCTTATACTATTTTGTGAAACATACGTGACTTCCAATCGACAATTATTATTATTATTATTATTATTATTATTATTATTATTATTATTATTATTATGACCATCATCGTGAAATGCAACAACAGGCTAATCTTCATAAACAAAATAAAATGTTATTTACCAAAATTGCTTTAAGTATTAACTCGGCGTTTATTTGCAGTAACTGTTATCGTTTTCGATAAACAAACAGTTCGTTTCAAATTAAAGACATTCAGCTTTTAAATCAAAAATAATTTATTCTGTCTTTAAATCTTCATTGTAATTCGATAATCGGCAACGTTTCGGCTTCATGGTTCTATCCATTGCGCGATTTATAGAAAATGCAGATAACAGTAGATTAACAATTTTTGAAATGTTTAGTTAGTAGTTAGTTATTAGTTAATTGTTTAGTTATAGTAGTTCAATTACCACATGACTTTTTGGTTAACAGTGGCGTTCGCCGACAGTCAGGTCATGCGGCGCCTATTGCCCGTGCACTGCCGTTCTCTGTCTCGCCCTCTCCTCCCCGCCTTCCTTTTCATTTGTCCCCTCCACAGTAACCCTGTGAAGAGGGGGAATTTATTCTGTTTGAATTTTTCTACATTTTGCTGCTGCTTTGCGGCTTAAGCAGCGAGAGGCGGGGCTTTTTCTTACAACTAATTTTACATTCTAGACCTAAAGTTAACTTACTTGCACTTTGGCATTACTGACTTACCTAAGATCAGTTTTGTTATACTATATTATATATACTACGTAAATTGTTGTTATATGGGGTTGGATTTTTTTTCTTGTTTCTTCTTTTTTTCTTTTTTTCGCCTTCCCTGGCGCGCCTAGGCTCGGGAGGCCTCAATTGAGTGCGAGGCAGCAGGGGATCCCGACGGCGCATCCGGGAAGAAGGCGCATTCTTCTCGTGGCAGTGGGGAAAGAATGGTTTCAAATTAAAAACAAAAACAGAACAATATTACGTGAATAATTAAACAACACCCACAAATAAATGTCGCACAAAATAAATATAAATTCGTTGATATAGTCTCATATGGATGTGCAACATATGAATAAGTTCATTCATCGTAACATATCATATTGCTTTCCTTTATAATTTCCTAGTATATTTTAAAAATTTAATCTGCAATGCACACTTCATTCTGGGTGATATTTTGGTGCTATATTGATTTGTTACTTTTGTTAAATTATTCATATATATATATATATATATATATATATATATATGTTTTAATTACTTTTGTCTTCTCTGTAGATTTGCACGTTGAAATTACACACTATTTTGCAATAGTAGTTTATGCAATTAGTTTTTCTTGTTAAGCTTTTTTGCATGAGTTCATGTTTTGAAAACGAGCGACGTTTTCAATTTTGTACGAGTGCAATATAGCAGCATTATAAACGAGTTGCATATGTTATTCTTTTGCATAATGGCATTTAAGTTTTATAAAAGAATGAAACTTAATTTTGCGAAATAACTTTCTTGTGACGTCTTGAATATTTGATATCTCTGCGAGAAAACGGTGGTCGGCTGTTCCGTTTACTGATACCTCCCCACGATTCTCTCCCTGCGATTAGCTGAATGCGTGATGATGCAATCATTCGTGCCGTAAAATCCTAATACTTCATCATTTGTGCCGTAAAATGCCTTTTTATGTACGATTTCTTGCAGCTGAAATGTCGTTTATAATGCTGGTATACAGAAAAAATATTTTTTATTGTTGGTAAATGTAGGCTTAGTATAAAGTGAATATATTCTGCCACCAAGTTGTCACAATTAATTGCAGCATTAATAATAAATAATAATTAGGTTAACATTTTGGAAATACATCATTCATAGTCAAAAAAAATTATTTTGTCATTATATATCTTCGAAAATACATAGTTTATATATAGTGTACAATAGAATTAAAGAATGCCCGTAGGTCAGACAATCGCCAACATTTTCTACTCTTTTAGTTCAGCAAAATGAGTTGTTTTCAGAGGCGCACAGGAGCAGAAGAAACACAAATTGCAAGATATCATTGTCAGAAATCATTTTCTTGCTTCTCGAATAATAGCGAGTATCTTAAAGGGATTACAACACTTAGTATTAAGTATTCATGGTTTATTCGTTGTAAAAAAACACATCACTATTAAAATATTTATATTCAAAACGATGATCGTATTTTGTTATAGTTTTGTCATATGGTCACACGTATCGTCTCTGAAATTTAAACGGCCAAAACACGTATCATGTTTTAAAGCCGCAATGAAAGCGATAACATCAACATAAAAGCAATAAATGATTATGACATAAACATGCCTATACCATTCGCAATGAATACAGACAATCAAACAACAAAACAATGGCTCATTAACAAGTGAAACCTTTCGATATTCTCAATGCAATGATCGGATGATCTGTGAATTCGCGAGCATGAAGACAGCAATTTAAAAACGAGAGTAATATTTTCACGAATTTATTCAACGCGTGATTTTGTTTCCTTATTGTACGCCAGTGACTTTTTGTTACATCACATTGTCGAGAATGTAAAAGGTTGAGTAGACAAACGATCGTAACTCAACATTCTCGATAACATCTAGGTAAATGATTGTGCGCGAGTCCGCTGAATATCGGAGCACACAGCAAATTTTGGGTTAAGTTATGCTTAGGTATCAACACACACTCTTACACAAGTTGAAGTGCCGAGAAAATCTTTTCTGCTGCCTATCTGTTTCTATAGAATTATAGACTTCCATGAGCATTAAGAAAAAAGAGAAAAAAAATGCTTTTAACAATTATATTTAACATATTAGTTACGATTTGGAAAATTGGATATTATAATTCTAAAACATTAAATAGTCCTGTAACAAGTATTGTATATCAGTTTCTAGGTCAATAACCTCCATCTCGATTCAGATTTTCCATCCAGTTTCCCTGATTCTTTGAACACATGCACAAGTCTCTTGTTATACTTCCACACATGAATGTGCGGCGATGGTGTACCGATTATGTTAGCGTACTGGCCTGTTGTACCCAAGTTGTCGGGTTCAAACCCGATGGAAGGCGTGGATTTTTAAGGGCGAAAAAATCCTTCGTACGCCTTCCTTCGGAGGGGAAGTAAAGCCGGCTGTCCCATGTTCGTAGATTTACTTGCATGTAAAAGATCCTCAAGCCTAAATGACGTCTCTGAGCTAAATTCAAATCGCCTGTTTCTCGCCCAAGAAATACCTCCTTTCTCTCCTAGTTAGTGAAAGGAGCGTAGCGAAATTTGCGTGGTCAGACGGAAGAGCGGGCCTGATGGCCCGAGTCTCGCCACGTAAAATAAGGTCAATTCAATTCAATGTAGCTTCTCTATCTGTGCACGTTTTCTTGAACTCTGTAGGGAATGTACATATTCAAATATTAGTTATCAATTTTCTCGTTGCAGTAAGTCGATTACATCACGTGGAACACTAGAGATAATAGCCAGAATGTGTACATCGTTTCTCTTTGCAAATAGTTTTTAATACAAGGGAGCATATATTTTCTTATAAGCTTTTGTCATAAACGTTGTTACCGGTATATACAACTCATCTTAATATGGACTACACAAGTTAGGTTAGAGATCCCAGAGCTCAACAAACCGTGAAGAGATTACATTTCTCTTCTTAGTACGTCAGGCAGTTTTTCATTGTTTTGGCGTTAAATAAATAAATGCAATGATGTTTTAGTTACAGGTGCACCGTGTGACCGGTGTAGCAACAATGGAGCACCACATTCGTTCCGCAAAGTGAGAA